CAAACTCTTTCTCTTGCTTATATTTATTTTCAAACAAAAATTTGACTTTATGTAATCTAAAAAACTCGAGAAACACCTTCTCTATCTATAGCAAGAAAATTCTGTAAGAAAGAAAAACTAATAGTATAGTACTCAAAGCCTTTTATATTAAAGCATAATTATAAAGATTATCTATAGTAAAAGATGATGAATATTTAGCATATTTTTAAAATATTTAATAATTTTTTCTTTTCTTTTATAGCTACTCAATTTTTTGATTTTTGAAAGAATTTTGTCTATCTCAGTTTGATTTTGAATTTTAGATAACTCAATTTATTGCAAAATATAATTAATGAACATATTGTAAAACATGTTAAAAATAAATATAAAAAGTACCTACTGGTAAAGATAAGTCTCTAAAGAGAAAAACAACACAAAAATCTAATGTTCTTTTCTAGGAAACATTGAAATTTTTAAATTAATAACTATAAAAAAACTACTCACAATTATTTTTTATTATTCAAATTAATGATTTATAACATTTTCTAACTTTTATCTCTATTAAAGTAAAGAGTTATAAATTTTGTTCCTCAAAAAGGATATAATGATCTGCAAAATTTTAATATTGAATACTTTAGGAATCCATTATTACCCACTGATTATCTTATGTATTCTAATGATGTTATTTATAATAAAAAGAGTTGATTAGTATCTTGTCTCTGCTCCATTTACCCAATTGGGTTAACCTATAAACTAAGTATTATAAGGTCAATAAGATATAAGCAACAAGTCACCAGGTGATAAAAAAACTATTATTTGTTTAAGCTGAAATCTTTTTCTCTTATCATTTTGATTAGACAAAATTGAAAATCAAGATCTCTTTCTTATTCTAATCATACAATAAAATTGAATAGCCTCTAGTTTATATTAAGCTTTAACTCTTTAGTTATAGTTGAAAAAACATTTTCTTAAAAGTTTTAGAATTACATCTTTTTTTTTTTTTTTTTTTTTTTTCTTAATAAAAACAGGCCCACTTTTTTAGGTGTTATTCTGTAAATTGTACTAACAATTAAAAAGAAATTTTTAAATATGCAAGTAATAGCATCGGATTTTTTATTAGACTTCGGAGACGAATCTTCGGATAGCGTGTGACAACCTGTACTCAATTTTTGTTCATTCTCCAGATTAGTCCGCATCATGTATGACTCTACTTTTGGATATTCCATAATTGGCAACGTTTGTTATCAAAGTCTTCTGGATGATGTCAACAGAACACCTGGAGGGAATTCCGCCTATTTATGTAACAGATAAAGTTCTGATTTGGCAGTTCGAATGGTTCTAAAAATATATAAAGTGCACCATTTGTGTTACTTGGATCGTGAACTAAGGTAAGCAAGCTCCGAAATGAATAACTCAGTTTTAAAAAAAATCGCTGAGAAAGTATTTGGAGTAATGCGCTCCACAGAAGATTGGCACCAAACAGCCGTTGTCAATTATGGATTAAATTCCATACCCTTTGAAGAATTTGATAAAGAGAAAAAAGAAGTGGGTCGAGGTGGCTCTGGAGTTATATACTCGTCAATATGGATCCCAACTTCAGAACAGGTGGCATTAAAGCAAATATCTGTTAACCAGGAAAAGGAAGAAACCGTTAGAAATTTTCTTAAAGAGGTTAGATAATCATCTTAAATTATATCCTTGAAAGACTTAAAAATATTAGTATATTAAAAATTATCATCATATACTGTAGCTAAGAATACATAATAGCTCAAAACACGAACGAATTATTAAACTTTTTGGAGTGAGCCGAGG